GGTGAGGACATCGGGGTTCAAGGGCAGGGTTTGGGGGTCGGAAGGCGTCTAAAGGGTGCTTCAAGGCGGCCGTGGCGCCTCAGCACGGTGCAGCCCTCTTGCAACCAGGCGGGATGGAAACTCTCAGCTCAGCGGGCCGTGGCGAGTGTAGTGGCCTGATGAGGCCTAGCACCAGACAAATCTGCCCAGACAAACCAAGCCAGTAACCAAGCAGCATCGGAAGTGACCCGACCCACCTGAATCCCACGCGTAGTGGTTGGTCCCATCAAACGTAAACACGTCCTGCATTGCAGTCGATTTGGGTGGGTGATGCCTGGGCAACAACTGGTTCGGCAGCCAGGTGCTTGCTTGACTGCAGAGGCGGCTGATGTGCTTGTTGACAGCCGGCAGTGACGTCAACAGGGGCCAGCGCGAACCAGTGAGCCGGTCATCAGCCTCAGAGACATTCGCGCACACTCGTGTTTGCACCAGGCGTCGCGTGCAGCTGACTGAGTCAAAGGCCATGCCTGCACGCAAGACCAGCCTTAGTTCGTGTTGGGGTTTGAAGCTGCTGTTGCAAGCCTGACGCAGGCCGTCGCCTGTGCGATCGTACGCCCTCCTTCTCACCCACCAGCGCAAGGATCTGGGCGCCTGGTGCCAGCCTTGAGACTGTGGCAGCGACATTGGTGCCGTGCCCCCTGCGGTGAGCGGTCGAGGGTTGAGGTCGGAATCCTCCTCGCGGCGCAAGAGCATCGCTCTTGATGCACTGGGGCGACGTGGAAGGCACAAGCACGCATATGCCTGGGGCCCCTCATGGCGGCCGGCGCGCCCTAATCTGTCGCATGCCGCCATCGTGCCGACTTCACAACGCCATCATGCTGACATCATGCTGACATCATGCTGACATCATGCTGACATCATGCTGACATCATGCACCTGTCATGCTGACATCACATCACCACCAAGCGCAGCCTCACATGTCGTCCAGCTGGTTGTCGTTGGCGGCAAAGTCCCGGGCGTACGCAACGCGGCAGGAGGCGGGCGCGCCCGGGGATGTGCAGGAGCCCAGGTCAGGGTGGGTGTAGTTGGCGCCTGCGAGCAGCAGCGTTTGGGGTTTAGAGGAGCGATGTTGGAATGGGTAGGTAGGGGCGGACCAGCGTGCTGCGACGGACGGCGGGGCAGAGGAGCACTCTATGATGTACGGGGGAGGCGGCGGCAGCTAGTCGCTGCTGGCGCGCGAGCAAGCCTGGTGGCACGTGCAGCCGTGCTGCATGCGCATGCACCAGCAGATGCAGGCATTGCGGCGCCGGCGGGGGCTGCGCGCTGGCCGCCCACCCGAATCGACGACGGCGACGTAGCAGCCGCTCCCCTGCTTGCCGGACGCGGCCACCGCGGCCTGGTTGATCAGCGGCAGGCTTTCCAGTAGGGCCGGAAAGTTCATGCGGTCCGGCTCAACCGATTCGACCAGTGGGTCCCCCCGCAGCGCCTCGAGCGCCGCCGCGCTGGCGACGTTGACCGCGTTGACCGGCAGCTGGTCAAACTCGCGCGCGACCGCCACGCCCCGCGCAGCGGCGGCGACGGAGGCCTTGACCGCGTCCTGCGCGCCCAGCCGTACGGCGTGCTCAGCTGCAGCGGGCTCGGCCGCGGCGGGGCCGCCGCCGGCCGCGACCACGGCCGCGCCTGCTGTGGCGGCTTGGGCCCCGGCAGCGTTTCTGGTGACCTTATAGGTGACGATAAACCTTGCGGGCTGGCCGGCCGCCATTGCAGAGAGCGCAGCCGCCTCGTAATCGACGCCGCCCGCGGCCGCCACAGGGGCGGCATTGGCATTGGCAGCGGCGGCAGCTGGACGGGTGCTGCTGCCCGCTGCGACCGGCACAGGGGCCTCGCAGCGGCGGCCGCACTCGGCTGCTCGCGAGGGTGGCGGCAGCGCAGAAGAATGCGGCGCTCATGTGCGCGGTCGGGCGTGGGGGAGCGCATGGGTCCGCATGGTGGGTCCTCTAACGGTCGAGCGAGCGCGTCGCGCCAGCAGCAGCAGCAGCAGCAGCAGCAGCAGCAGCAGCAGCGGCTGGACGTTACTGCCCTCCCAGCCGACGACTCACCCAGGGCTGTGTCCGTGCAGGTCAGCAGGAGTGCCGCAAGTAGTGTTGCTGTTCTCATAATATGCTCCTTCATCTTTGCCCCAGCCTGAAGGGGGGGCACACCGGATCAAGAGGCATAAGGCTGAATTGAGCACGGCAAATACTGCAAACGCGCAGAGCCAGGTGACGCGGCGCTCAAACACAACTACCCTCACCAAAGCCGAGGTAGAGGTGCCAGGATGGTCTTCAAACTGACTTGCAAGGACGTCGCGCTCCGAAATCACTGCTGGGGCCCCTCAACCACGGTCCACGTTACGACGGGATGTCCAGATACCCAAAGGACGGAATTGGGGCGACGTTCGCGTTCAAGAAAGATGCTCTTCTTACGTATGTTACAACACCTGAACAGCGACGTCGGGTTTCTGCTTGGGGGGCCCCGGAATGGTCACAGGTTCTTCACGACGCACTTCTTTGGAACCCGTGGTGAGAGACGCCGTTGATACCTTCGAGTAGTTCTTTGAGCGACATACCAACCACGATTATTGCGATAGTTCCCTTGACGGGCCCGTCACCCCCTCCCAACTAGCTGGGCAATCCCTAATTGCAGCCGGCGGGGAACATCCAGGCTATGCCTGCACATGTCATGCCCTCCCTACGCCCCGAGCGAGGTGTAGGTGTGCCGGCAACAGCGACGTATGCGACACGCCGCAAGCAACTGATCCGCTGGCAGAGCCTTTGCAGCAAGCGTCTGTTACACGGATGGAGCTGTTGTGTCAAATGTTGACCTCCGAAAGCGATGCGCCAGAACAGCCACGACGACACACGTTTGCACGACTGGCCGCCCGGGGCGACGGTGTTGGAATGTGCACTCGTACAGAATAGGCAGCGCGCCCGCCGAATGGTGGGCGGGCGCGCGCGGAGCGTCCGAGTCCGAGATTGAGCGCCGCAAACGGCCCACGCCGCCGCGCCCGCCCCCTGGGGTGAGGGATGCGTGCGCGCCGGCGCCGCGCCAGCGGGAACGAGCCCCGGCAAAAAGCTGGGTGATAAGAAGGCCTCGGGACCCTGTTCAACCAATGCAGAGGACAGCTGTACACCACCAGAACCGCCGTCTTCACATCTCATGCGAGAACGGCGGCCACGGCGCGCACCAAGCGTGCGCAGACAAGACATCGCGCAGCATGCAAACAGACCAGCAGGGCCGCGCTGCGCCCGCACCCCGCCCCTCCCCGGCGCAATGCAGGGCAGCGGTTGCGGGGTTCGTGCCGCCCTAACACACGCCCTGCAAGGGACGAGCTCCCCTCTCCTGCTGAGAAACGCTCGCCTAAGTAACAGCCCAAAGCTCGAGCCGTGTTAGAAACCATTGTCTGGCGTTCTGGCCGCTGAAAATCGGCCCCAGAAGCGTGCCAGAGGGCAAAAAAAGCGCACGCCGCCGGCGCGGCCGCTCACGGCTCCGGGCCGCCCGCGGGGGGCGCGCTGGCCTCGTAGAGCAGCAGCGATGGCTGCAGCCGCGCGGCCTTCATGGCGGCCTGCACCCTGGGCCACTCGCCCACCAGGGAGATGCGGTCGTCGTCGAAAAGCAGCCACTGGCCCAGCTCTTCTGACAGGCAGAACGCGTTGTAGTGGTGGCCAAAGTAGCACACGACGCACCTGGAGGGGTGCGGTTGCGGGGCGAGGAGGGGAAACGCACGTTCGGAGAGGTCGGAGCACGCACGCAGCGGGATTGGGCACTAAGTTGGGATGCCCGGCGCCGCGGCCTCGGCGCAGGCTCGGGTGCAAAAGGGGCGGCGCTCGCGCGCTGAGGAGGGGAGCCCGCTGGGCGGGGCGCGCACCTGAGCTGGTGGGCGGGCCCCGGCGCGACGCCCCCGAACGCGCGCATGAGGTCCAGCTCGGGGCCGAGCGCGTCTATGGTGCCATGGAGTGCGTCCACCGGGGCCTGAGGGGTGTGTGTGTGTGTGGGGGAGGGGACACCGTGGGTCAGTCTCCAGGCGGGGCGCCAGGTGCCCATGACGGCAGCCAGCAGCTCCTCGTCACAGGCGCGCGAAACAAAAAGGCAGCAGCCGGCTGTGTCTGCGGGGGCTGGAGGGGAGGCCGGCAGGCAAGCCACGGGCCCGGGCGCGCCGAGGGTGCGGAGGCGGCAGGATTTGCGGGCGCAAGCCTCTGATTGCTCCCCAAGCCGGGGCGCCGCCCGCGCAGGGCATGGTTGGGGTCCTCACCTGGGGAGAATCCCAGACCAGCGCCAGTGTGAACACCTTGGGGCGCCGTAGCAGCACCGTCCGCGTGCCGCTTGCGTGCCGCGGGTGCCGCTGCTGCTGCTGCTGCTGCTGCTGCTGCTGCTGCTGCTGCCCGCGCGGCTGATGCAGCGGCTGCGGGTGGAGCGGCTGGGGCTGGAGGAGGGCCGGCTGCTGCTGCTGCTGCTGCTGCTGCTGCTGCTGCTGGCCTTGCTGCTGTGGGGGCTCCTCCTGGATATCGGAGGCGCAGAGGATGTCTGAGAAAGCCCCGTCAAACAGCATGTCGTAGCACTCACGCAGCACCTGGGGTTTGCAGGGTGTGTGTGTGCGTATGCGCGCGCGTGTGTGTGTATATGTGTGTCGCGTTGCATGTGCATGTGTGTGTGTGTGTTTGTGTTTGTGTGTGTGTGTGTGTGTGTGTGCGCGCGCGAGTGCGCGTACAGGGAGATTGATGCGCACACGCACGTGCGCAGCCTACCGGAAGCCATCAAAGTGCAGTCGGCCCCGCCGCCACGACACATCGGTCCCAGGGCCCCGCCCCGCCCGCCGGCCCTACCTTCGCGTGCACAAAGTGGGCAAACTTGACAAACTGCTGCGCGTCCACCAGGCCCGCCTCGCCCGCCGCCGCAGCGGCCGGCGGCGGGGCCGCCGCGCCCTTGCTGGCGCCCGCGCCCGCGGCTGCCTCGTCGTCGCAGGGCGCCGCGACCTGGACATCCAATCCAAACACGCGGTGCACCATGCTCATCGCCGGCACAGCCGCGCCCGCGCCCGCGCCTGCCACCCCGCCCAGCCGCCCGACCC